GGTGCACGAGGAGAAATGAGGGTGCACGAGGGTGCACGAGGACAAACGAGGGCCCACAAGGACAAATGAGGGTGCACGAGGGTGCACGAGGACAAATGAGGGCCCACGAGGACAAATGAGGGGGCACAAGGGTGCACGAGGGTGCACAGGGACAAAGGAGGGGGCACGAGCGTGCACGAGGACAAACAAGGGTGCACAAGGGTGCATGAGGACAACGGAGGGGGCACAAGGGTGCACAAGGGTGCACGAGGACAAATGAGGGCCCACGAGGACAAATGAGGGGGCACAAGGACAAATGAGGGGGCACAAGGGAGCACGAGGGTGCACAGGGACAAAGGAGGGTGCACAAGAGTGCACGAGGACAAACGAGGGCCCACGAGGACAAAGGAGGGTGCACAGGGGTGCACAAGGACGCACGAGGATGCACAAGGACAAACAAGGGTGCGCAAGGACAAACGAGGGTGCACGAGGGCAAACGAGGGTGCACAAGTGCGCACAAGGGTGCACGAGGACAAACGAGGGTGCACGAGGGTGCACGAGGGTGCACAAGGACAAACGAGGGTGCACAAGGACAAATGAGCACGCACGAGGGTGCACAAGGGTGCACGAGGACAAACAAGGGTGCGTGAGGGTGCACGAGGGTGCACAAGGACAAACGAGGGTGCACAAGGACAAATGAGCACGGGGGGGGGCGCAAGCATGCACGAGGATGCACAAGGACAAATGAGGACAAGTCAGGGCGCACGAGGGTGCACGAGGGCACGCGAGGGTGCATGAGCAGAGATGAGGGTGCAGAAGGGCAAAGAAGGGTGCACGAGGGTAAATGAGAGTGCACAAGGATGCACAAGGGCAAACGCGGGTGCACGAGGATGAGGCCACACAGGGGGGTGCACAGGGACGGGCGAGCGCGCACGAGGGTGCACGAGGCCGCACGGTGACACAGGCGGGTGCACAAGAGCTTGCAAGGGTGCACAAGAGCTCGCAGGGGTGCACGAGGATGCACAAGGCCTCACGAGCGTGCACGAGGATGCACAAGGATGCACGAGCGTGCATGAGGACGCACAAGGCCGCACGAGCGTGCACGAGGCCGCACGAGCG